TCTCATATGGCTAACCAGAGCACATAGTACCAGTCTTGAGAGACTGATGATACATTTTAAGACAGACAAGTTTTTATTAACTGTACCATTTAGGATTAATAAAGACTAAACTGTTCTTGAGATCTCTCCTATGCAAAGATCATACTATAACCCAAAGTAGTTTCTAAACCTGTTCATTTCAAGTCACATTTCTTTTTTATTTTTTTGTGATTTTTGTTATCGGGCATGTGCACTCACCAGAGAGACAGAGACAGAAAGTGAGAAATCAACCCCCCAGGGGCGATGGCCATGCCACAATACCTTCTTCACTCTCCTCTGGGGATTTTGGGCATGCATGCACATGCATCCAGCATGAGTTTCAAGCTGCCAGGTTTGAGACTCGAATGACAGTCGACTACGTGGGAATCCAGTACCTCAACCACTATGCCACCTGCTGGTCCCACAAGTCATATTTCTTAATCTTAAATTTTCTTTTTTTTTTAATTGCCAGAGGGCATGCGTACTCAGCAGAGGCAGAGAAACACAGAGATAACGAGAGGCATGGGGGGAAAAAACACTCCCCGATGGAGTGTGGTCTCGCCACAATCTCTTGTCTTTCATTGCTCCTTGAGGAACAAGTGTGTTTTTCAAGCCACTGGGGCTGGAATTCAAACTACAGTCAGCCATGTGGGATCCAGCTCCCTTAACCACTAGGTTATGGGGCCAGCCCTCTTCAATTTTCTTTAGAAGTCAAAAACTATATATACTCAAGGAAAGCCTCAAGTTTGATTCTGATAAAAGAGGTATAAAATGAGGTGTGAGCAAATAATGTCTGTTAGAATGATGGATACTGGGCTGGAACTACTACTAAATTCTAATGCTTAAATGAACATCTCTAAGAGTTAACATCATTGTGAAAAATGATGGGACCAGCAGGTGGCGTGGTGGTTAAGGTGCTGGACCTTCCCACATAGCCAACCATGGTTCGAGTCCTGCACCTGGTGGCTTACTTTCTGTCTGTTTCTCTCTCTCTCTCTCTCTGTGGTCAAATTAAATGAATGAATAAATGAAATTAAATAAAATAATTTTAAAAAAAGAAAAATGAATCTGCAACAAATGATCAATATATTTTGTACATATTTATTCTGAGGGATGAATAGGTCCCTTATTTCAAAATAAACCAATCTGGCTAAGATTACCTAATAAGTTTCCTCACCATTATATATTATGGTATTACCATCAATAAATAAATAAATAAAGGGAAAAAAGACATATCTGTATTTACTTGAATTGTGAGCTTAGGACTTTTAAGTTCCGTCTGTATAAAACAATAAGCAATGGCCAGGCTCATGGACTGAGAGTTAAGGGAGTCCGACGGTTTAGGGGCCAGATCTCACATGGCCAGCCATGAGCAGGAATCACAGCTCCAGGAGCTCGAAACATTCTGGGTGCACGTGTACGTGTGCCCCCAAATCCCCACAGGATGGGGGAAATGGAAGAGAACGGACTGCACAGTGACCATGCTCCATTGGTGGATGCTTTCTCCCTCTCCCTCTCTGGCAAGTGCATATGCCATCAGGCTAAATAAATCAATCTTTTTTCTTTTTTTTTTGGAGAGATTTTCACTGTAGGGCGCGTGTGCTCGCCAGACAGACAGAGAGAGACATAGAGACAGAAAGCGAGAAATCACCCCCCAGGGGGGATGGTCACGCCGCAATCCCTTCTCCTCCATTCTCCTCTCAGGATCTTGGGCACGCACACACACGCACCCGGCGTGAGTTTTAAGCCACCAGGTCCGGGACACGAACCGTGGTCGACTACGTAGGAGTCCAGCGACATAGCCATTACGCTAACTGCCGGTTCCCTAAATAAATCAATCTTAACAATAATATGAGTTTATAATTTCCCTCCCTTCTTTCCAATATCACTTTTCCTCACAATCCGCACCTGGGGGCAGGGTGTGGCAGAGGGTGAACCAAGATACTCTGCAAGGCTATCGGCCTCCACAGAACACCCTGGCCAGGCGTTTGCGTGCCGTGATCCAGGGCTGCCTGAAAGTGGGGTGAGTCAGTGCTGGGATGCTGCTGGAGTACTATTCTGCTCTCTGTCTCTCTCATGGAAGAATTGGCGGGGGGAGGAGATGACAACAAGACTTCCACTTAAAAAAAGAAAAAAAAAGTGTCTTCACAGGAGTTCTCCATGTGCTTGCTACATAGAAATCAAACAATAAAGAAAAATATTATGTCCACCCAGAAGAATGTCAAGGAAAAATACTGATCATACTAGAAGTACAAAGTATAAGTCAGATTTTTTTATATTGATATAAAGATGTTTGTATTTAAAATCACTATAAAGCAAATTTTGTTTGGGCAAATTTGGCATTTTGCCTATGTCCCCAAAACCTTACTATGCCCCTAAACCAGCCTAGACCTATTTCCTCCATAGCAGAGAAGGAAGGTCCTTCACTCATCACAACGACATGGCATCATGTCATACATACAAGAGTATGACTATTTCTAAAATAAGGCCAATATTGTAATATACTAGACAAAATCAGTGGAGATATTCTGTTGCAAAGGCCTACTCAAAAGTTAAATCTGTGAAAAACATATGGATAGTTCCATATCCTTCCAGATCAGAATTACAGATGATTCCGTTTACACTATCATTTACTCTCAAAGTGGCAAGGAAAAACTGCTCTAATCAGCTAATTAGTTAAAGAGGGCGGAGGACAATAATAAGCTTAACCACTTTTACCTACTGAAACTGTTTTAAAGAGCTCTGAGCGTAATCTACAGTAACACATAACACCAAGTTCGAAAACCTTCATAAGTGCTGTCTGGGCTATCCACTGGCATGGAATGCCAGAGAATTCCTCAGGACGAAGTCATGTAACAAGAGCTGCACAGTACCATTCCGATACCTGGCCAAGTCACAACAGAACAGGCTTAAGTTTTAAAGCAGAAAGATCCTTATTTTCACTGAAAAACTTTGCAAAGTAACTGAAGCACACATACAAGTTGTCCAAAAATGGAAAAATAAGGCTGAAGTAATCACTGTCCAGTTTGAAAACGGTAGTTCTGATTTCTTAGTATTTACTGCATTTTCCACCTATGTATCTCTTTTTTTTTTTTTGGAGAGGTTTTCACTATAGGGCGCGTACGTTCGTCAGACAGACAGACAGACAGAGACATAGAGACAGAAAGCGAGAAATCACCCCCCAGAGGGGATGGTCACGCCGCAATCCCTTCTCCTCCATTCTCCTCTCGGGATCTTGGGCATGCACGCACATGCGCCCGGCGTGAGTTTTAAGCCCCTGGGTCCAGACATGGACTGCGGTCAACTACGTGAGAGTCCAGCGACATAGCCATTACGCTAACTACTAGTTCCCACACCTATGTATCTCAAAGTAGAAAACTCAATCTAAGGAGGAGAATAAATAAGAGCTAAGGCTAATACCAAGCCCAATCCCACACACGGTGATGGAATAATCTTACAAGACAGGAACACTACCTATCCCCATCTGAACTGAAGAGGCACAGCTAATTTACTTCCTAACAAGGAGCAGAGGGAAATTTTAACCCAGAGCCTAGAACCAAGGTAACCAGGAGGAGAGTTAAGTGGCTGAGGAAGATCCCAGCAACAGCAATCCCAGTGAGGAAAGGCACACAGCTTCCCAGGTGGGCGGCGGGTTCTTCCCTGTATCCTAGAATAGTTTTCGATCCTGGCTCTACAGCAAAATCGTCTGTGGTTTTTGTTTTAAACTTTCCTTTCCTGGGATCTTAACTCAAATAATTGGCCTTCAATTGGCCTGAGAGGGAGCAAGCAGGAGTAGTTTATTGAAAACTTCCTAGGTGATTCAAATAGGCAGCTAAGACTGAAAACCACTAACACTTTAAAACAACTAAATTTTTGCCAGCTTTCATTGGGCATAAAGAATATAGAGAGAGGAGCAGACAGCATGCAAAAGTTTGGAAATCTCTCCTTGAAGCCCCTATATCCTCCTGAGGTTTAGAACAAAGCACAAAGGTCCGAAGAGTAAAGAAAAACTGTCCTGTTATGAGACTAAAAGTTCTATGAAATGTTCAAAATGTAACATCCCCTGCTATTTGCTTAGATTTCTTAATTAAGCTGGTGATGACAGTCAGAACACTTAATGACTATGTTACCGTGGTGATAAACTCCTGGTCTGGTCATGGTGCTATGACAGCCACCTTGCGGTGTTTCTACCCTGTGAAGTCACCTGGGCATAAACTACCAGTGCTAAGAAATCACAGCATTACATAAGCAAACTCCAACAACAACATGGCTGGTTGTGGCAGACACTGAGACACGCCAGGGTTTTGCTGACAATCTCCTATGAGAAGTCAGCTTCACTAAACCGCGTAGGGAACATCTCACTCTCCCTATCCCAAGTTATGAGAATTGTTCCAGGCATCCTCAGACACCTTTTCTTTTGCTGAGAAGGTGAAACAGATACCTGTTTCCAGAAGGGACGTTTGACCTATGATTTGAACAAGAGCTCGGAAATGCAAACGTGTATCAATACTTCCAAGTTGTACCGAACTCGGAACTATGCAGAGAAACATTGCAAAACTTCCTGCTTCCGGACAGCTCATTATTTTGGTTCAAGTCTTCACATTCCTCTATTAGTCATGACCTTTCAGAAAGCGTTCATTCCATATTGTTTGAATAATATCGAACTTCTGAAGTTGTTCATCGCACTTACCAGAACGCCTAAGGAATGAAGAAGCCACCCCGGAGTCCATGCCCCCAGGAAGAACTACGATCGCAGGAAATCAGTAACTTAAGCAGCGTGCATGCCAGTCACCGGATTTTCTCTTTAACTCACTGTAAACACCTTATCCTTCTGCACATCTTAAATGTATGTTCATCTCTATCATTTTCTCACATGCAATTACGAGACCTGGCGCTTGCTCCGCAGAGATGAGCTCCCGGGAAACGAGGAAGACCTGGGATGTGTGTGAAGTGCACAGACGCGGGCCAGGGCCCCTCCTCACCGACTGTCACTGGGGTCTTCCTCGGCCCCCATCTGGCCTCTGAGCCAAATGTCACCAGGCTCAAAGGCACAGAGAAGCAGGGGAAACGGGGTGAGAAAACGAGGGGGAGGCACCCACAAACACGCGTACTTCCACCCGAGAGCCGAAGGGTGGCCCAAAGCGCGGACCCCGAAGAACACCCTTCCCTCCTGGGATCCGTCACATGCCAGCCCCGCAGGGCCTGCCGAAAGGGGCGTGTGGGGAGCGAGGGCAGCGTCCGTCCCCCCTCCGGGGACCTCAGCAAACGAGAATAACGCGAGTTCCCACTTCCTGGTCGCCGGCTCTTCCCCGAGGCCCGCCACCCCGGGACGCCGGGCAGGGGGGCTCCGGGGAGTGGG